GCACGCACAATTTGCACTGACATTGACCGTCAAGAACGAAACATCAAATTTACTATATCGCTGCGGCCGGATTATGAACATCCCGATATGGAAAGATTCCGAGTCGAAGGTAAACTCGAAGCGTATACGCATCGTATTGAACGGACAAGCGATTACGATCACACGAATCGGCTTTAATCAGCTGTCCGCGATCACAATGGTAGAATGCGAAACCTCTCGCTAGAGGTGACGTCAGCTGCAGTCCTTTATTGTTGCGTTTACGTACTATGTAAATGCATCATTCATCATTAAATGCATGGAATTGATGGGAAACTTGCAGTGTTTTTATGGATTATGATTATGAATATCTAAAGATTGCAACCATCTTTCGCTTTATATTTTGATATTTAGAAATGCAAAAATTAAATCATTATTATAACAACCTTGTGTTTTTGACAAATAATCATATTAATAATTGTGAAATATTTGGCCAAGGGTGATTTTTATAGTATATAAAAGCCGTGTGCTTTATGGCATAAACTTTCGAATTATAGGTACCTTTCTACACGTAGATTTTCTTTTCATATTGTTGGTAAATTGGGCTTATAAATATAATCCATTCTAATTATCGTTCTTAGCTTGCAAAAATTTAAATTAAATTATGGTGATTTTTTTTCTGTTTTGAATATTTATCTTGCCAAGTTTTGTACCATTCCTTGTCTTTTTCAAAAGGAATCTCCATGGTGGAATTGGAAATAAAAGTTTCATTTTTCAATTTTTTTCTAAATGATTATAATATGTAATTGTCCAAATTTTATTTACTTTCAAGAATTTACAATTGTTTGATGCTATTGATGCTAGTCATATCATAATTAAAACACTAGAGCAACTATTTGTTTTCCAAGGCACAGGTTAACATTATAGGGAAAAAGTCCATGTGATATGGGAATAAAACTTTTTAATAAACTAATCAATGAATTAAAAATAGACAGAAGAAAAAATGTTTAAAATTTTAAAAGTAAACTGAAAAAGATACTTATTGTGCTGGAACCATATAGTAGTATACAAGAATATTTGAATGGATACATACAACATACATTAACTGGATATCAAATAATGTAATTGTTCTGAGTAGCATTATAGGTGTGAGGTCTTTTTTGTAACGCTATTTCATTTCATGGTTTATGTGTATATTTTTATGAATGTCACATGTTACTGTAATCTGAAATAAAGTTAAAAATAAATAAATAAAATAACACTGGACACAACGATTATTAAGGTCAATTGAAATGCTCTGTTTTAAATAGAAACAATCCGTTCGAGGACTGCGACTGATGGCACGTGACATCAGTCGCAGTACTCGATTATCGTTATTCTGGCGAACGTAATGTAGGGTGGCCATACGTACAGCATTTCGCTGTATTGTACAACATTTTCAAAGTCTGTCCAGCATTTGATTTTGTACAGCAAAAGTACAGCGATTCGGATCCGGTCTTACTTCTAAGTTTTTCCTAAAAAAAATGTACGAAAAATTGTCCGTCAATAACTAACGACATTTCTACATTTGCGATTTACGTCATTTACGCCATCATCTCCCAGAGTTTTCCTTTTAATGCTAACTACCTTTTTTATCTCTCCCTATTTCACGCTGCTAAGAAGAAGACAGCATAGTAGGTCTGTTTCTGCAGCAATTACAAACCAGTCAGCGCGAATTTCATTGGTTGCAAATAGTCAGAAACAGTCAGAAAACTACACAGTTTCAACCCAAGGTTCCTAAAGTTAATAGGTTGTCTGGTAATGGGTAATGGTAAACAGATGACGTCATCAGGAAGATCTAATGGAGATTTTCATTATGTTTAGGCATCCAGGTGACGTCATAAAAGTTATCAGCCAACCTACCTCTTTCAAATAACCTTGGTTTCAACCATTAAGGTTTTCAACCAATGAAATTCACTCTGACTGGTTTGTGATTTCTGTGCGAACAGACCTATTATGTTATGTCTTTAATTTTTTAATTTTTTTAAAATTTGCCTTAGTTCTTTCTCCACTCACCCGTCCCAAAATTTTAGATGTGTTATAAATGTCACCCCCCTCTATCTTTTTTATTTGACATTTTAGAAAAAAGTGTCTCAAATAAAAGTTTTATGGTTGAATTAATTTTTTTTGAAAAACTCACTTTCGCATATACAGGGTGTTTCAGAAAAGCTAATCGTGCTCCAACTTTCTTATTTTAAATGGAATACCGTGTATATTATTGAATATTCGGATTCTACATAAAATTCTGAACAGATTTCATGTGATATACCCTATACCTAAGTTCAACTGTTTTGGAAATATTGACAGTTGAAAATTGGCTTTTTTGCAATTTTGACAGGCTGTAAAACCTAAACGGTTAATTTTAGAGCCAAACCGATCTTACTTTTTTATCTTAGATTTTCATAAACTATCAGTTGACACTGATATTTGACATACCAACTTCGAATTTAATCCATGATTGAAAATTCCGATTAAATTTAATCTCCGGTTAAATTCAAAGTTGGTGTCAAATCATAGCTTATGAAAATCTAAGACAAAAATGTAAGATCGGTGTTGCTCTAAAATTAACCGTTTAGATTTTACATCCTGTCAAAATTGCAAAAAAGTCAATTTTCAACTGCCAATATTTCCAAAACAGTTGAACTTAGGTATAGGGTATATCAAATGAAATCTGCTCAGAATTTTATGTAAAATCCGAATATCCAATAATATACAGGGTATTCTATTTAAAATAAGAAAGTTGGAGCACGACCAGCTTTTCTGGAACACCCTGTATATGCAAAACAGAGTTTTTCAAAAAATTTAATTTCAACCATAAAACTTTTATTTGGGACACTTTTTTCTAAAATGTCAAATAAAAACGTTAGAGGGGGGTGACATTTATGACCAATCAATAACCCTGTACAGCATTCATACAAAAAAAATATGGTCACCCTAACGTAATGTCTTATGGCCATGGGTCCGACTCGTCCATCTAGGGTGGATGCTCGCATGTATGTATGGATATATTTTATTAAAAACCATATATAAAACACAAGAAAAATAAAACGAAGCAAAACGCACCCATCGCATCCCAATACCTAATGGCATAGGTAATAAGAAAAACAAAACAAGAACAAAACCAAAACAAGTGTGTGTGCAAGAAGGACAAAAAACGATTCCGTCAACAGCTGTTGTCGGAAGCTACGGAATGGTTCTCGATCCGATTTGTCTCGCTTCGAGTACGTTCATAACCTCTATTCGGAAAAAAAATAGAGGATTCGGTTCGTATCGGACGTTCGTAATCGGGCCCCAGGGCTGGAACTCTGTAACGGATAAGGATCGTTATCCCTATCGCTATGGCACTTGCTGTCTTCTTCTTTCTTGTCGAAATCAAAAGAGAGGAAACGTCAATAACGATAGAGAAAATATCTCTATTTGTTACAGAGTTCCAGCCCAGACAACGTAAACAAGTCTGTGACAATGTCATATGTCACACGATTCACACGACACCACACGTCATTGAACTGTTGAAGTCAGCTATCATTTTGAGCAGCGTTTCCAGGGCCGAGTTCAGAAATAACGCACAGGGTGCGAGTGCGATATTATGGGTGTGCCTGAATTGACAATTGGCCATTGGGCCCATAGCATTTTTGAAAAGCTAGGGCGTCGCACCGGTGTCACACTCACACTGGGTGTGTCATTCCTGAACTCGCCCCAGATGATCAGCGGCTTGAATAATAGGTCTGTTCGCAGAGAAATCACAAACCAGTCAGAGTGAATCTTATTGGTTGAAACTAGGTTTCTGACTGTTTCTGATTGTTTTCAACCAATGAAATTCGCTCTGACTGGTTTGTGATTGCTGTGCGAACAGGCCTATTATTCGTCGCTGCTGTGGCGCTAAATTCAAATTACAGTTTGTTTTTCTCTGACTAATTCTATAGACACTATGCTGGAAAATAATTTAGTATCCCACTATACCATCACCATTTAGTCCAAAAAATAATGTAAAACAGATTTTTTACTGATTTTTATACATAGTATACTAACCCATTATGTTGCGCGTGTAAATATGCTGTATTGATAATTATTGTTTCTGTTAATATATTATTTAACAACTAAATTTTAGTATAAGCATATTGTATTGGGTACATAATTAAACATTAATTCATAGAGAACCGTCTTTTAGACATGTCGTTTTATTTGTTGAAACCCTATCAGAACTTAAAGAACTTACAATACTACATCCGGCTTAGGCCGGAAAAGTGATTCCCTTATTGTTATTTATTGATTCCTTAGCAACTATTGAAACATAATTAAAATATCAGAATATTGAGTTTTGCGACCTGTCAACCGATCAAAAATGCTGACATTTCTTGTCAATCGCAGATTTTTTTTTTACATCACCATTACAAATTGTTTTAGAAAAATGTAATTCTTTTAATAATTGCGATTTGAGTACCTACAATGGCGAAAGAGGATAATTACTTCAATACATCAAGTTTAATTAATTTAGTTATCAATCATTCATTAAAATCAGGCCAAGTGACAGAAGACCTTAAATACTCATATATTATACCTGTTCCAAAAGTTAAAAATACAAAAAAACATGATGAATTTAAGAAGGAAAAGTAAAACAAGAACAAAAAATACCTGCAACACTAAAAGCCACTGTTGGCGTCTAATTGTAGGATCGGATTGGATTGGAAATGATAAAAATATAGAAATTAATTGCTTTCAACAACACAAATCAAATTTATTATTTGATAACTATAGAAACTGGCCAAGTAGTGACGTAGTTACTACGAGGCCAAATAGTTAATTGATTCACTTTATTTGAATGTAATATTTTCTTTCCAGAAACATGATAATTATTCTATTTTTAGAGAAAACGAGTTGTTGACAAACAGATTAATTTTTATCATAGAAATAGAAAATATTCTCTTCACTTATATGTGGTTTTCAGTTTAATTTTCACATTATTATAAATAATCCATGTGATAATTCAAACATTTTCCCACTAATTGTTATCTAAATACTTATTTAATGTATCTGTGATAAGATATTGTTGCACTGATTATCTAAAGTTGATTCACTTTGTTTTAGTTTTTTGGCCTATAACTACATTATTAAAAAATGGACGATATTTTGATAGAATTGTCCGATAACGATTTGGAACAGTTGGCAAGAATGTACGAAAGACACTGCAAAGAGTTGCCTTATTTGTACAGCTTTTTGCAAATTTGCGTAAAATCCAAAAAAATCGACATGCCAGATTTTGTAAAAGTTTGGTCGCCTAATAATTGTTGGAAAATAGATGGGACTTTTATTGCTTCAGTGCCTGTAAGTAATCATAAAATATACTTAAGCAAATCTATAGGTGTTATATACACTGAGAAATCTACCTTATGTCCCTTGCCAATTTTTTAGCGACCACAGCCAATTTTTTTTTAGAATAGGCTCCAGCCAAATTCTTAACTGTGGTAATAGAGTTAACTTTATTGAACCGTCTTACCCGTGGCAGCAAAGTTACTTTGTTGTGACTATAGAGGATATCTTTGTCGTTATAATAAAGTAACTTTATTGTGACTATAAAGTGACTTTGCTACGACTATACAGTTTTTTTTATGACAATAAAGTAACCTTATTGTGGCTGCAAAGTAAATTTGGTGCTACTATAAAGTATTTTTGTGTGACCATAAAATTACTTTGCAGTGACAATAAAGTCAGTTGCTCATGAATAAAAAGTTGATTATGGCCGTTTGCACCGATCATTTTCAGGACGCCTTAGCGATAAGTATCCAATGACATTTTTACGTGGAGAAATGTCACTTTAAGGAAAACTTATCGCTAAGGCTTCCTTAAAATGGTCGGTGCAAACGAGCATTAGTGGGGTAAATATGTTCGTGGGGTAAAAATAAAACACAAACAACTACAATTGAACAATACATATATTTTATCAAAAAATAATATTTTTTTTATAGAAATAAAATATGGACAGAAAAATGGAAAATTGTTATTCCCGTTATAAGAATACTCTTATAATGAAAAATCAAAAAACTTAAATCTATAAAGGAGCATAAACAATATAAATACAATAATACAAGAGCCTTTATATAGGGAGATCAGTAATGAGATAGGAGGTTGGTTGAATCAAAACAAACTTGGAGAAGTCCTGTGACGAATGCACTGCCTCCTCGATCAATTAAAAATACCTTTAATAATATTCGATAAAAGGATTAGGCTACGCCATCTTGTTTAAGACAAAAACAGAAAACCAACATTTTTTATTTTAGAATATCTTGAAGAGAATAAGAATAAGCTCATAAAAAATATTAAATAGATACATCATTATATACCGTTGAATACCTACCCTACCACATTCACCCACTAACTAAAAAAAAAAACAAACAATTCAATATTTCGATAGACTTCACTTTATTGACTTGATTACTAAATTGCACGAGCCGACAGCAGAAGCTTCCTTCTACGTTTGACGTTTACCACGGACTACTGAGCGATGCTAGCGTCGGGAAACCTCGTGGTTAGCAAATCACCTCCCACCTCACCACCTGACGTATTTTGTTGAAAATCTTTTGGCTGAAGAAGCCAAAATCTTTCCAGCAATAATTAAAAAAACTTATAAAAAACTTTTTCATAGTTGCAGGCATGCACTTTGCCGCGGTAGAAAACATACTTATTAATAATAAGTGTTCCTACTGTATCAGGAAAAAACTATTAGTGGCAGAAAATAACTTTACTGTTAAAGCAAAGTGACATTATGTTAACATAGTAAAGTGCAGCCTACAACTAGAATAGGATCGTTTTGCAATTTCAGCTAAAATTTCTGCTTTGATAGCTGAAAATACACTAGTAAAGAATTTTTGGATGGAAGTTTTCTCAGTGTGCATACCTATATGCAAAAAAAAAATATTGAATCTACATTGAAATAGCTAACAGAAATAAAATCAATTATTAATATAAAAAATCTTTTTAGAATCACGGCCACGATATAATTTTACACAGCTTCGATTCCTCAGGCAAAAATCTCATCGAAGGATTATCGAAAACTAAAAAATTTAAATACCTACGAGACCCTGCCAGGAGTTTCACCTTATTTTACGCAGTAGATCCAGAATTTTACCCAAAAATATTACAATTGTTAAACGAGCAAAAACACAAAATTTTGAGCAACGATGCTTCAGATGTATGGGTTTTGAATAAAGAAAATGCAACTAAAATTCAGGAAGACAATGAGAAAGTTTACGTGAAAAATATCCAATTGGAAGATTTAAGTGTTGTGAATAATCACTGGCCATTCAAGTATCCAGAGTCTGAGCAAAAACTAATGGATTTGTCTAAATTAACCAAAGGCTTAGGAGTTTATCTTAAATCCAACAACCAATTGATTTCATGGGTGGTTTGTTCTCGTTTAGGTACCGTAAAAATAATATAATTCATTTTTCAAATTAAAAAAAAATTAATTTTGAATTTATAGGACAAATGGGTGCCTTGCAAACTTTGGGAGAATACAGATTTAAGGGGTATGCCGCTTTAGCGGTTAAAAATATGGCCAAAACTTTAGCTGAAGCTGGTTTTGATTGTTGCGGTTCGGTCGATCGAGGAAATGTAGCTTCAGAAAGGCTTTTGTCCAAATTGGGTTTTAAAAAGTTGCGCGCTTATCATTATATTGCTGTACAAAATGAATATTAAATCATTTGATGTAAAAATATCAGTAGAAACTATTTTCAATAACAGGTACATAATTTAAGTTTGCTATTATGGATACTGCTTTGTCTTGTCCATTCTTATTCTGAAATAAAATGTTTTTATTTACCATTATAAGTTCATTATTTTATTATTGCGTTTTTATTTATATGGTTCAATCAGAAATAAAAAATAAATAAGTACCTGTCTTGTAATTGTGTAAATGCGGCCTCTGAAAAAGACGAAACGTCTTCTTCCTTTTTTCGATTTTCTTCGAAACAGTTTTGAAACTAAAAATCATTAATATAATATAATAATTTTTAAAAAAAATAATAATAATAATAAGACATGATAATTATTTATTCCCACATAACAAAATTGCATCCTTAGAATGTATTAAGAATGTTCTTTTTTTAGGTGGAATGTGCCTAGAATGTTCGCCAAAACCATTGCGAATGTCCTGAGAATGTTCTGAGAAAAGATTGTAGAAATACTGTTTGCAATACCCAAGAACTTCCTGGGAAATCCATTAGGATATTCCTAGAATATACCTATGAGATTCTCAGTACATCCTGAAAAGAATATTCCTGTTTGATTCTAAAAATATGCTCGAAATGTATATTCTCACATTCAAAGAATGTTTCTATAACATTATAGTTATGTTCTCAAAAGAATATTATACCAATATGCTTGAAATATTCTTAGAAAATATCTACAAATATCATTCTCAATATACATCCTAGACATAACATATTCTTGGTTGATTCTAAGGATATACTTGGAATGTTAATTTTTGCTTCCAGTTCCAAATAATGCTCCTTTCAGCCCTTTTATATTAAAGGCAGTGAAAGAGTTGTTGGAAAACTTCTCTGGAAAACACAAGTATTTAACCAAAGCTCCGGTTTCGAGCTGGTTATGCTCTCGTCGAAGGACGCCAACTGAGAGAAACAGGTTCCAAGGTGATTCAAACGCGAGGCAAGATGTAGATCTTTAATAGCTCGTGGCTCCCTCTCTTGAAAGTCCTACAAAGCAAAAGAAAAAGAATATACCTATAATATTCTTAGTAGATTCTAGATAGAGCATTATTGTTTAATTGTTAAATTAAGATTTTTGAGTCGGTACTTTAGATAATTAGGTGAACAATATGAAAATATTCCTATCATGGTTACCTACCTACATAAACTTCTCAGCACAACTTGGTAGGAATATTCCGAGGAATATTCTTAATACTTGAAAGAGATATTAGCCGAAAGAACATTTTTCATGGTACATTATAATAATCTTCGTATGACAATATTCAAAGATTGTTAAGTAGGTTCTTAGCAGAATCTTTCAGGTAGGTGCATAGAAGCAACATTCCTAGTACATAAATAGAACGTCCAAAAATGAATATTTCAATCGAAACAATTTTAGAATATTCATCAGACATTCCTAAAAGAACATTCCAAAAAGCACTTTGAGGGAATATTCTGAGAATATGAATGTTCTTTCACTGTTATGTGGGTTGTTCTATTCTACACTGAGAAAAAAAATTCGTAGCCATTACTAAAAAATTAGTTATGGCAGCAAAAAATCTTAATAAAATAGGGGACAGCTAGCCAAATTTGTTGCGACAACTAAAATGTATCTACTAGAAAGCATAGTCGTCTCAAATAAATAAATATAGTTAATTGGTCGAGTATCTTATTGCTGTAACTTAGTAGAATTAGTTGCAGATAGTAACCAGTTTTGTTCATCACAACTGAAAAGTTCAGTTACAACCAACTAGATTTTAGTTTTGGCTAAAAATAACTTAGTATTCATTGCAAATAATATTGTTGTAATAAAAAACATATTTAACTGTGGCTAGTAACAACTTAGTTGCCGTTGCAAACAAATGTTGTTGTATTGAAAAACGTATTTAGTTGTGGCTAAAAATAACTTAGTTACCATTACAAATTGCTTTTGTTAGAATAAAAAATTGGTTTAGTTGAAAAACAACCTAAATACCTGCAGTATACAGGGTGCCACGAAAGGTTTGTTACAAACTTCTAGGGATGGTAGATCTCGTAAAAATAAAACTTTTTTTTTAATAAACATGTGTCCGGAAATGCTTCGTTTTCCAGATATACAGGGTGGCCCAAATTTCAGCCTCATCATTGGGATCTCGGTAACCGTAAGAGATACGGGGTCGGTTAAATAATGGCAAAGTTGCGCAGTTTTATGACCAATGGAATGCCGTTTTGAAACTAGAAAGATTCCGAATACTTCCGGAGATATTCGGAAAAAATACAAAATTTTGTAAAATCGTTTTTATTTTTTCCCGGGCTTATTTGAAAAGCAATTTTAAAATAAATGTCACTTCATCATTATCACTTTTTCCCCTTTAGAAGATGGTGCTACTAAATTTAAAATTCGACGTTTCGTCTTCAGGCGGCCATCCTCAACTTCCTTTTTTTAAATACGGACCTGAATTTTTTATTTGCAATTTTGTCATTTTTGCGCATCCTAAAACCGATACTGTTTATAATTTTTCAATAACACAGCAAAAAAAGCAGGTCCATATTTAAAAAAAAAAATTCATGATGATTTCAGAGGAACGAAACGCTGGATTTTAAATTTAATACCGCCATGTTGTAGAGAAGAAAAAGTGACAATGGCAAGGTGAAATTAGTTTTTCACAATCCTTTTAAATAAAATCAGGAAAAAATGAAAACTATACGAAAAAAACATGAATTTCTCATTTTTCTTAATTTTTTTTCTGATTTCATTTAAAAAGTTTTTGAAAAGCTAATTTCACATTCCCATTGTCACTTTCTCTTCTTTACAAGATGGCAATATTAAATTTGAAATCCAACATTTCGTTCCTCTGGAATCATCAATTTTTTTTTTCAAATACGGACCTGCTTTTTTACCGTGTTATTGAAAAATTATAAACAGTATCGGTTTTAGGATGCCCAAAGATGACAAAATCGCAAATAAGAAATCTAGGTTCGTATTTAAAAAACGTAAGTTAAGGATGGCCGCCTGAAGACGAAACGTCAAATTTTAAATTTAGTACCACAATCTACTAGAGGGGAAGAAGTGACATTTATTTTAAAATTGCTTTTCAAATAAGCCCGGGAAAAAATAAAAACGATTTTAAAAAATTTTGGTTTTTTCCGAATATCTCCGGAAGTATTCGGAATCTTGCTAGTTTCAAAACGGTATTCTATTGTTCATAAAATTGCGCAACTTTGCCATAATTTAACCAACCCCGTATCTCTTACGGTTACCGAAATACCAATGATGAGGCTCAAATTCGGGCCACCCTGTATATCTGGAAAACGAAGCATTTCCGGACACATGTTTATTAAGAAAAAAGTTTTATTTTTACGAGATCTACCATCCCTAGAAGTTTGTAACAAACCTTTCGTGACACCCTGTATAGATCTCGAAAGGACTATTATTACAAAATGATTTTAAATTATAGTAAGAATAGCTATTTACCTAACAAGTGCGGAAAATGAATGAAAAATATTTTCCGCAAGTGTTAGGTACAATATTTTTCCTACAGGCGAAAAAATGTAGAATTTTCCTTTTTTTTTTGACAGCCGTGCGGTAAAATTTTTTCCGCACCGACAGCCGTGCGGAAAAACTTATGAGTGCGGAAAAAGTTTTACCGCACCGTGCGGGAAAACTCATTTTCCGCACGCATATCAGTGCGGAAAATCGATTTTCCCGCACGGCTGTAGGAAATAGTTATTTTCCTAACAAGTGCGCAAAGTGTTACTTTTCCGCACGCAAACACAGTTATACGAACGACGCGTAGCGGAGTTCGTATAAGTGTTTGCGTGCGGAAAAGGCACTTTGCGCACGTGTTAGGAACAAATTTTTTCCTACGAGCTTCATATCAGGTAGGTAACAACAAAAATTTTAAAAAAATAAACGATAATTTGTTCAATTATTTTCAATTAACTTGAAGCGAACCTATTCATTCATCAAAAAATTACATAACAAAAAATTGAAATCCTCGTCAGAGCTGTTCATCTTAAAGTCTTTAAATTTGATGCGAAAGATGTTTGTAGATTTTTGCATGTAAATGGAGAACACAAATCTGACAATGTGTCAAAGTTAATTATATTCAGTGTTTGTCTAGATGTTGGCTGATATAGAAACAGAGGAAAAATTTGTCATCATGTGTCAAAGTCGACAGGTGCACTTATTGTTGCTTGACAATTATTTTTACTTTTCGGCACTCAGTGCGGATAAGGCCCGTATCCGCACTGAGTGCGGAAAAGTGTAACTTTGAGAACGGTAATGCGTGCGGAAAAGTATTACTTTGCGCACGCTCGTAGGAAAAATATTTTACAGGTGCATAAGTACTTCGACTTTAACTATAATATATATATATATATATATATATATATATATATATATATATATATATATATATATATTTGTAATCATAGTCCTTTTGAGATTTATATACTGCAGGTATTCATGTTGTTTTTTAACTAAGCCCGGTATTCATAGTGCCTACTTGAGTGCTGAGGATTCCTTAAAGGTTACCTTGGCAATAAATTGTCTTTCAGAGTCAAAATTGTCAAGGCGTCCTTATCGCCGCTTATGCGTATTTTGGCACATTTCCTTCCTTGACTTGAGGAATGTCCAGAGGTCCCTTGAGAGTGGTTTTCTAACCTATTTCTATAAATAATAATAATAAAAAAATTAATTTCATGTGATTGGTGACAGTACGTGAACTGTAGGTATTTCATTGATGTGCAAAGTTTATTATTAGTATTGTAATGAGCATGGATGGGCTGGAAAATTTGTTTGAAGAGATAAATGTCGCTGATGATGAGAACCGCGTATGTGGCTAAATTCTGCTGGTGTAGGCACCGTGTGGAATGGTAGAAAAAGCAGTGTTAAATCAAACAGGGATTAGCATCCATTAGTGAGTCGATAAATCACCGCATTCGTGGCATTGCCACATTTTGGGGAATTTAGCCACACGCGGGTTGTGCTGCGGAGGCCAAGAAGGTACAGGATTGTTCCGTATATTTAGACAGAATATAGTTCGCTAATGAAGCAAGATAGAAAAAAAATATAAATACAAAGTAAATAGGGATTTACGAGAACCGCTAGGAAATTTAATTTTTATACATATATACAGGGTGCACGCAAAAGATGTGGAAGAC